TAGAACGTGAAAACTATAGGTAAAAAATTTAAATTTAAATTATTTATATACTGTATATGCATAGCTAAATTATATTTATATTTTAGAAATAGCTTTAAATTCTTTAGCTAAATTTTAATGACCTGGAATTTCAAATTCAATTAATATTGAAAACCATATTTCATGGGATTTTGCTGAAAATGTACAAATTCCCTATTCTTCTCAACAAGAAGGAACGATATATTTTAAATCACCTTATAAGATCAAAGTATTTGGTATATGCGAAGAAGCAATACCATGTCAGGTAATTTAACGTTAATTATGCGAGTATAATAAACTTTAATTTATACGTGACTTTACATTATTTATTTCTAATCTCAGATCTTATTTAAAATATAGAAGAATAAATGTTCAAAGATTTACATTCTAGTTAATGCAAAACTTGATTAAGAAAAAAACTCAAAAGTTGATGATTTGTTTTATCGAAAATAAATGTTATAAACAATTTGATAGAAATAAACCAAATGTGCTTTAGATTGCGTATTTATATTCCCTCTTCTTGTTCTTCGTAGTTCATGTGATTTGGAAAAATTTAGAATAGTGAATTTTTTTTGCCTTGATATTTTTGCTACGAATTACATCATCATTTAAAACTTCACACATAATCATATAATATCTAAGTTATATATCGTCTGCCTTATAGTAAAAATTTTTCAATATATAATTTATGTTTTATAAGAAAAATATTATTTGTGTATTTTCGAACTAATAAATAATAATTTTTCAAAAAATTTCATTTAAAAGATCAAAGTTAATCTATCAAGTTTTTTAGCTCGCCACTATCTTATGTTTTTATTAAACGATTTTGACATCTCTAGTAAACTTGTTCAGCAGGTCTATAATAATGTCAACTTGATTTTTTTTAAAAATTAATTTTTTTTTTTTTTTTTTTTGTTTTTTTTTTTACAGCAATTGAGGTTAAAAAAATCTATAATTTAGATAATAGGCTAATTTAGAAAATGCACACGACATAAATTTGATATATATAATAAAGTTCAAAAAAAAAAAAAAAAATCGGTATATCTGAGTTGATTGCATTTTAGCGATTCCAAAATACGCATGTCTATCTGGTTAATCAAAGGTTAAAACTTCTATGATTAATCCTCAATCATCGTTTTTAACTGTGATCACTAAATTATCTCTATGAATAACGCATTCTGAATCAGCATAACCTAGCATCTTTTCAATATCAGAACTTTGACATCCTTTGATTCTAGAAATTTCTGTAGAAGAATAATTCACCAATCCTTTACCAATCATTACAACTTCAATATCATCTATATTTTCACGGTTTATAGTTCTTTCTATCTTTAATTCAACTGCTTGGTGAGCAACAAAATATCCATCAACCTTGACAATCCCAGCAGCAAATAAACTACTTTTCCGTCCCGCCTTTGTAATCGCTCTAACAGCACCTTCATCAATAAATATAGTACCCGCAGTATGCAAACCATGTAATATCCACCACTTACGATCCAACAGCGGGTTGTCTTTTGCGATAAATCGCGTGTGAAGAGGTAATGATGATGAACATTGTTTATCGTCGTTGGGTAGATTATTAATAATAGATATTATATTTTTAGGTGCTGATCCACGACATATTATTGTTGTTACGCCTGCCGCTGTTGCAAGATCTGCTGCAATTAATTTTGTTACCATTCCACCCGTTCCAAGTGAACTCCCAGCTGATGATACAATAACTGATATGCAACAAGATAGAAACTAGTTAAATGATAAAATTAAAAAGAATATTAAATATTACTTGAATTTGATAAAATCCAAACCTTTATCTCTTAAAGCACCAACATCTTCAACTACTTCTACAGGTTTAGCATTTGAATTTGTCATGGGATTGTCAGTATATAAACAATCAACATCTGTCATCAAAAATAAATAATCTGCATTAACCATTCCAGCCGTTATAGCTGAAAGAGTATCATTATCTCCAAATTTGATTTCCTATTAAATATTCAAAAAAAAAAGAGAAAAATTTAAAATAAGTAATCGCACTTTTGCTATTGATGACACATAAATCGCTTCGATTATATAATTTTTTTTATAATAAAAATTTTCACCGAATTTGATAGAGTACCCGATCAAAGTTGATAAAATTTTACCTCGATTTCTATTTGCAATAACATTCTGATTAAATTTATTTATGAATTTATTTTATTTGAATTTTGTAAAATTCAAATAAAAAAATTCATTACACTTTCCTTTTAAAAAAATATAAAAAAGATGATATAATCGAAGTGATTTATATGCGAATAGTAGTTTCCTTAAAATTTATTTTCAAAATAAATTTTAAAGGAATAAATAAAAATATTATTTAACAATTACTACTTACACTCACGGAAATAGTATCATTTTCATTAACAACGGGAACTACACCCATGGTTAATAATTCAGAAAAAGTATTAACCGCATTAAGATATTGCGTACGCTATTAAATAGTCATA